GTGATTATTATTTTTATTTATATACAAGTCACTTCACTACTAGGTGTCTGTCTCTATTTTAGCTAGAGCATTTGCTCAGTTTGTTAACATATTATTTTATCTAATGTTCTAAGGAAGCCAGGATTGCCTTGCCACGATGGTGTAAGACATTTTGATTTCTTAATCAAGAATTTTCCAGACTTGAAATTTTAAATATATATTTGGACACTCTAATAAAATAACAAACTCAGACTATTCTGGATCTTATAAAAGTCATTTAAAAATAGAAAGTTTTAATTCGTATGAGTTCTATTTCCTTTTCATTCCACATAAGTAACAGCATTAATAGATCCTATAGCAGCACAATTTAGTTTTTCTCCCCAGATCATTTATAAAAATAAATCACTTACTATTTTAGTGTATAGTCATGTTTTCCTGCTTCCCACTTATATGAGTCCCAATCACAAGTAAAACAGCTCTCACGAACGTGTGGAAGTTCCACAGCACTATTTTTCAGTTGAGCTTATTTCATGATTTCCCAGTTTCCTCCATCTATAAATGGTAAAATTGAGGATTTTCAGGATAAGTACATAATAGAATTTTGGAACACACTGTTGGGATCCGTTTCTATTAATCAAATGAATACTTATTGTTATTCTATAAAATACTCTGTATGCTTATATGTGCTATATACATTAATACATATTATCTTAGCAATCATTCTAGTAGATGTCAATCATCTGTCCTGAAGTAAACATTTTTTGAGCCTGTGCTATGCCAGGAACTATGCTAGGAGCTTACAGTAAAGTGGAAGGAAGAAAGAAGCCTACATGCCACTGTAGAAACAAGCACAAGGGGGTAATGGAAGCATATGGAAGGGGTGCTTACTGCAGTGGGAACTGATGTCTCAGTAGATGTGATTTTGTATAAAATGGATCCAACTAGGTGACCGATGTGGGTTGGTTATCAGTTAGTTCCTGGATCAACTGTGGTATCATTCACAGGTTAGGGAAGACAGGAGGGTAGACAGATTTAGGCTGGCATTGCTAGTTTCTGTTCACTTTAAGTGACTCTTACGACTTTTGCTACCAATACATGGGTGACTGAAATATCTAGCAATATAAATGAGTAATGGTTTGAACAGTTAACACAGCAATAAACTTCCTTACACTATTCCTCTTCCAGGTTCTGAGGAACTGAGTGTAAGCCAGGGGTTACATTAAATAAAGTAAAATTGGTCAGGTGGGATAGAAATCATGTGGTCCAAGTATCCAGCCTGCTGGCTTGATCAGAGGTTTTCATGGTATTCAAAGAAAACTTTATTCTTTTTGATTGGAGTAAGTAACTATCAATTTCATTCTTTTTGATAGAAGCAAGTAATGAATAGGGCAAAGTAATATCTTCTAGTAATGGCCTAGAGTATGGAAATTTTTGGTAGTATTACTATCAGATCTATGTCTTACAAAGAACAGTAATAGAATATGCTGCCTGTATACTCTGATTTAGAAGATCTTAGAATTAAGCTACAAATTCTTAGAAGTCAACTATGAATTTAACAGTATTTTTTCTCTATACACATGATTTTAATTTTAAATAGATAGGAACAATTTGCTTTACTGTAGATTTGTGGTAATTATTTTCAGGTGGATGAAGGGGAAGTTATATTATCTTTTAAAATGAGATTTTGTAAGATTCTGAGCCAGAAAGGCTTTGCTGGGCTATGCCTAGGAATTGAGAAGGTTTAGTCCCATGGAGGTGCCCTCCCTTCATTCAATACATTGGGAAGAAATTATAGGTGCCAACCACTGGGTTTTGACTAAAGATAGTAGTCATGGCTGTTACACTTTCCTTACTACTGATTTTGAAAATACTCAAGTTTCCAAGCTCCAAGGGAACATCTTGAAGCCAAAACCATCATCTTATCAAGTACTAAGCCTGCTTCTGATATTCAGAAATTGAAGCCATAATTTGAACAGCAAAGAAAAAGTAAGGTGAAATTTTGTTCGCTGTAGCTAAGTCAATAAAGTTAAAAACATTTAGTAGAATACTTTCATCACTACTTATTATGGTGTCCAATACTGATTGGGTAAAACAAAACAAAACAAGCGAATAAAAAAAAGTACAATTACACAGGACTGATGTTTGGCTGCTACACTGGCACAGCCCTTTTGGGTATTTATAGCTGATATCCATTCAGACTGGTCAGAGTATCTGTTCTCATTTGTTAGTGCTTCTGCTCTAGAGTTTGTTAAATATTTTTAGTATCACCTGAGTATTTATGTACAATTGAAGGGTATTCAGGGGGGAGGTGGGAAGGATGTTGGTAAGAGTTAATACAGAGTTTTTATCTGTAGACTCCTCCTCCTAAAGGATATTTTACATTTTATGTTTCTTTGCATAAATGTCTGCCCCAACTTATATGTTCTTCTTCCACCAAATCGTCCTTAAGCTGCTTCATGCAATGTCTATGTCTTCTTCCAAAGATATAAAGTATATTATCTATGCATTTTATAAGCCAGTAGTCATTGTCTAGCTTCTAAAAGAGTTAAAACCTTACTAGTTTCCACTACGGGGCTATGTTTTTCAAGGTAGTTCAAATATACTTTAGTTCATTTGATTCTCACAGAAGTTTAAGTATTATGTTTATGGCTTACGTATAATTATCTCCCTTTTTAAAGCTAGAAGCTGAAGCAGGGAGAGGTTAAGGAATATCCCGGGGTCCAAATTCTCTATAAGGGCAATTTGTTATCATTTTAAATGATGTTTAGGTATAATTGAAATAAGAATAATATAAATACTATATTTTAGGACTTTATGGGTTAGAGTCCTTCTAGAAGGTTGACCTAGTGATTAAAACTTCAATTGGAATATTTTAAGAAAAAGCACTCGCAGGTTTCTTACCGCTTCCTCAGAGATAAAGTCCCATATCGTGCTGTTAAAAACAGAGGTTTGGAAGTCACATACATTTTGAGTTTGATGTTTTTTCAGCCACTTAGTAGACAAGAGACCCGGTCATGTCACAAAAGCTCTTTAGCTTCCACTTCTGATTCTGTAACATGGGGTTAATAACAGAACTTACTTCTTATCCAGCAGTGAAGCTTGTCACCAGTGACACCGTTAGGCCTAACACTCCACCTGACACATCCTAGCGCTCAAAAAGTGTTAGCTGTCATCTGCTACCAGTTGGACCCTTGAGGATTACCCTTGTTTATAACTGGAGACTCCATGCGTCATTCCTGAATGAAAGCTGTTTCATCGATTTCATAAAGTTAAACTGGTAATCCCTCACCCCTTTTTCTTTTATGCTCCAGCCAGGTCTGGAAGTTTGCCTCCTCGGTGAGGGAAAGAGGTGAGGGAGAAACCCGATGCCCGTGAAGGACAGGAAACCCTGGCCTGTCCTCAGGGCCTCCTGGGCTTTCGTATCTCATTTTACTTCTATATTCTGGGAATTCTTAATCAAAATACTGATCCTCAAAATTCTGTTGTAGGCCAATTGGTTCTCTAAATCTACTGATTTACACAGTTCACTATTTTGGATAATTCGTTGCAGGCTCAATTTTGTTTGCATTTAGATAGCTAGCAGTGTATTTATATTAGTACAGAACTGCAGGTAAATGCCTTTTCAGTTTTTATTAAATACTATTATTGAATAAATATTTTCAGGTTTCATTAATTGGCCACATATTACGTGCCTCCCTCACAAAAGGAATCATGCGAGTTTCGATGGTGAACAAGACAGAAATAGTACCAGCCTTCACTGAACTTCCATTCCAATAAGAAAGGACGATTATCTGACTGATAATCACACAATTAAAGAATTTCCTCATTTTGAAAAATGCTGTGATGAGATTAAACTGGGTGCTACGAACGAGTGTAGATGGGGAGCCAGTACAACACTGGATAGAGTGGTTAAGAAGGCCTTTCAGAGGAAATGACATTTTAACCAAGACTAAAATTTGAGAGGAGATTGCTCACGTGGAAAACGGACTGGACAGAAGGCATTCCAGATGAGGGAGTAGCATGACCACAGGCGCCAAACAAAGAAGTACTCTGAATACAAGTTATTTCAGTGGGACTCGTACATAATGGACAAAAAAAAGACACCATGGCAAGAAGTGTTGATTTTATTCTAGGTTTCATGAGATAGTATTTAAGAGACTTAAGCAGAGGAGTGATGTGATCCAATTTATGTCTTAAAATAATCCCTGTGGCTATAGTTTATCTAATGATTGGTGAGGTCAAGCCGAGTTGGAGGGCACAAAGGAAGCCTGCTTGGTCCAGGCAGGAGAAAACTGACCCAGACGAGAGTGGGTGAGAACTCAGCTGGGTATTATAAGGAGAAACAGGTTGTGCATGAGCTAGACAAAAAGCTAAAAGTTTGTGTTTCATCTTTCTTCTATGTTTTTACTATTTATTACACTGTCCTCTATATATGGTTACAATTTCCCACCATCTAAGTAAAGCATGACTGTATGGTTTTGCCATGAAGGGGAGAAATCCTGTTATCAAGTTAAAGACATTATTTTTTATTTGAAATTTGAGGTCATTCATTATAGATGATCATTCTTCTTGCTAAACTATTTCTACATTTCATTTATTCATTCAACAAATACTTGAGTGCCTATTGTAAGAGTCAAAAATGTCGTATCATTTATTCAGGTATTTTGCTTATCAGGTTTCCATGTAAACAACAAATAGTTCTCCAGGAAAATGGTGTCATTGATTTTACTCTGGGCATTTCCTCACCCTCGTGGTTTTAGGACTCAATAAACTCCTTTTATTTATTTCCGTAAATTCCTGCCTTCTAATGGATAATGATGTTTATCAAGACACTTTTCTTCAGAATTTGAACTGGAGTTTGGAACATGTTAAGAAGCAGTCTGAACCCACATTCTCTTAATTCTTGTATTTTTCAATAGAAAAAAGAAAAAGCCTCTGTCATGATACAGAACAATGCTTATGCTGTGGCTGTTGCCAATTACGCCCCAAACCTTTCAAAAGACCCAGTTCTCTCCACCATCTCCAAGAGTGCAACCACGCCTGAACCCAACAAGAAGCCGGAAAACAAGCCAGCTGAAGCCAAGAAAACCTTCAACAGTGTTAGCAAAATTGACAGAATGTCTAGAATAGTTTTCCCAGTTTTGTTTGGTACATTTAATTTAGTTTACTGGGCTACGTATTTAAACAGAGAACCTGTATTAGGGGTCAGTCCTTGAATTTAGACACAGGTTGACTTTGGGATGTACAGCAACATTAAACCTGGTTTGTTTTGCCATGTACAGTCTGACTAATAACTGCTAATTTGTGAACCAACGTGTACAGTATGTATATAGCTATCTAGCTCATAGACCTCTAATGGAGACATGCATTTGCTAAACTCATGGAACTGCAGGCAGAAAGCACCCCATGCCCAAAGAGCCATTGCCTTTTTTTAAAGATTTAACCCTAGGAATTGGTTTAAAGTGGATTTCAGATGACCTGATTTATTTCCTCTTCTTCTAATAGCGATGAAAATGGAGATCGTATGCCACAATTTCTGGACCCTTTTGATTTAGGTCTTAAATAGGAGTATTTTCTACTGTTGCTTAACTATAATGTAAGATAACATTGTCTTTCCAAGATGAAGCCCTCTAAATAACAGAACTTCATATCTGCAACATCAGTTCCCTTCCTGAGTGCTCAGAAGCCCTGCTAGTATAATTGGAAGCTTAGCACACATCAGAAGAAAAACTAGAGATTTGAAATCAGCTTCTAATTACTCTGTATAGTATCTATAGCCATGTACATATTACAGCATGACAAATTCAAATAATTATGAGTCACCCTGACAGGATATTCATTATGTCTAGAATTTAATAACTATCAGAATGTCATGGTCATCACATTTTTAGCATCAGAATTTATTTGCAAGTAATAATTGAAATCCTACAGATTATTTTAATCATTGGAAACTACCTTAAATTAAAAAAAAAAGGACAATAAATATATCTTACTCTTTCCAGGTATGTGTTGCATTGAAATTGATCAGCTAAATTTTCTTGGTGCTGGAGACTGGAACAAGTATCCAGTTTGGCTGCTGTGGAGCAAAATTCATATTGGATTAGAAAAGTGTGCCAAGAACTCCCACTGATGAGAATTCATAGGTGTCACAGAACATAGACGAGCACTTATACGATTCTCTCCTTTCCTGTTTACTGCAAATTCTGCCTTAAGGCTTCTTTTCATCAGGACTCAGAAGCCACTCATTATAAAGGAAAGGGCAGTTAATTGGCACATTTTTCTGTCTTGAAAGCAGCTCTTTCAGATAAGAATTAATGTAAATCTGCTTTTGTAAATTGCAACTTTAAATTCCGCTAACTCAAATTTACAGCTTTGTATACCAGAAGAGGTTTTGGTAAGAGTTGAACATTTTTAACCTGAAACTTTAAAGCATCACTAACAGATTGAGGATTAGTTCACATGCACAAACACTTCTCTCTCTCTCACACACAAACACACACACACTCACAAGAACACACACACACACACACACACAATTAGCTAAATTAGGACACATACACAAACGTAGCTAAATTAGAAACCAAAATTTTCAATTTTATATAATTACTAATTATTAATGGATAAAACTCATTTTTCTTTTAATATTTAAAAAATACTCTCTATCTCCCTGAAATATGTTAATAGAAGTTAACAATTGTGTCTTATGCCTAGATGCAACAGTTTTGGCAAACTTAAAATCCTTTCGACTCACATATACATTAGCAGTTATTAGTTGACTTTTACTAATAGATACACCTTTCTGATGGTGTTTTTGTAGAAACATAAGTAGTCAAATAGTGGCATTTCTTGCAGTTTTGTACAGTATTTCAGTATAGTGCATAAATAGGTATGTTCATAAAATCAGTAAAAGGATTATCCTATGGAAATAAGCAAAATCACAACAAAAACTGCTATTCCTTTGCCTCATTTAAATTTTTTTTTCATTTTTCTTGTTTCAGTGTGATTCTATTATGTGCTTTGCATGACTGTATTAATACCAAGGTCACAAATGCATCTTACGAGCAGAATTTGCCATGAAGACAGCTTTGATATTAAAAATTCCCTCACAAAAGGAAATCCATAACCCTTAATAAAATAAACTTGCAACATGAGCCAATAAATGTATTTATTTACTTCCCTTTCAATAACACCTTCTCTGACATCTAAATAGTTTTAAAAGTGCATTTGATTCATATACTAGAATGGGAGATATCTTATTTTCTTACACATTTAAATATAACATAGCTCTTCTGGGTGGTTTACAGAAGGGTACAGTAGTCCAAACAGTACACAATGCTTGAAGTCAAGCAATAAAAATGTATGGTTAGTATTATTAAACGGTTTAAAAATATTGTTCTTATAAGTTCTGCATTGCCCTCTTAATATGTGACTATACACTATAAATTTATAAATATGTACATATGTAAAAATAGTTGTAAATAGAAGTATCTGTAGGACCACAGAAAAGACTCATCCATCCCTTTGGCAGAAAGCTGCACCTACACTGGTGGTACCAGTTTTATTCAAATTTACGGTAGATTGACCAGAAAACTTACTGTTATGTTTATTTTTAGTTTCAGTTGTTTAAATCTTATTGAGCCTAAGGACATGCTGACAGCTGAGATTTGCCTATCATGTGGATCAGGATTTGCTATTGTTTCTCTAACTTTGGTGTATTTTTTTTACACCCTTCTTAATCTTTTAACGTTTGGATAAATCAAAAGGAGCCTTTGATCTTGCTGGAGGGAGGGAAGATGCTTCATGGGAAAGGATTAATACTACAGAACCAGAGTCTTTACATTTTTCTCCCTTTCATAAATCATTTTAAAAACACAAAATAAAAGTGACATGGACTTATTAAAATAAGGTTAATTTTTCAGGAAACATTTTTAATCAACTAACAATGGTCTCTTTGGCCCATAATATGTATGCCTATTGAATGCAGCTGTACATTGACATAAAGAGTTATGGTATGTACAAAATGTAGATAAATACATGTACATATATGGAGATATAATCTCATCATTGTATAGCTACTGCTCCGGCTAAGCTAATGCTTACTCCACAAATATTTTTTACTTCCTAGTATTCACCAGGCCATAGGGATGGTGTTAATACCACTCACATCACACCGGCAGAATTTAGTTGAAAATCCGAGTGCATCTCATTCTTACAAAGACTGAAAATCAAAGACCAAATGTAATACATGAATTAATTTAGCGCTGAGAGCTGTTTAATGAGTTATGAGACTACAAGTGTGCTAAGATGCTGGCTGTTTTGCTCTTTTCACCTATTTATGTCCTCATTGGTTTGAATATAAAAACTGTAGTAATGTAATCATTTGATAATTTTTTAAACTTCAGTGAGTTTTTAAGTGCCAAACTTAATGTTTAGCAATCTTTTCAGGGATCTCTCTATTTCGAATTTATCTCAGGTTTGGATAAGTGATCCCCTTGAGCCACGTTTCCAATTTTTGTTCTTGAATAGTTCATAGTTAATTTTAAAAGAACACAAAAGCTATTATTTCACTCATAACTTTGGTATGTATATATGTAATGTTTTATGATGTGGCTCTTTTCATATTGTTGGTTGAAGCTGCTGAGCTCTGCCATGATATCATAGATTCTGGAAGGGCACCAAAGCTCCAAGGATTCTAAGGATGCTGAACTTTGGTGTGGCCTGTCATCATTCCAATGGGAGGACAAGGGAAGTAGCTCAGGTCATCTCCTGCAAAGTCATGGTTCTTCAACGTCTGTTAAGAATTTTTTTTTTCAAATGCTCCATACTGGGTACCTTCAGACCTTATGAATCGTCAGAATGTTTATTACGTATTTTGAAACCTGGGGCCGTATTCATAGGTTATTAATCAGGCTGTTCCTGTTATTAGTCTTCTGGCATTCCTACGCCCATCTGCATATTTTTGAAGCAATTCCCAGATTTTTTTTTTCATATAAAAAGATTCAGAGTTCCAGGGAATCTTGAGTTGACCCATGGCTACCGTGTAGTGTACTTATTTTCCTTTTAATTTAGGGCTTAAGGGTACCTTGGGCTTATCTTTTTTCAGTCCAAAGTATCCAGAAGTATAAAATTAAAACTGAGGAAGGGTGTGGTTATTTTAACACTTGCATGCTTGGGAACCAGAGACAGTGTATCAAAATTTCTCATGACAGTGTGGTCAAGACAAATTATGATATTTTTCTCTATTGAATTCATGCGTTAAAAAATGAAATTCAGTGTTTAATAAAATTCTTAATATCCACATCTTGTATTATCAACATTTATGCGCAAGATGCATATTTTTCCACTAGTTTATATGCTCATATTTTCATCAAATTCAAAGACAAATTTAAGACCTCGAAAACAGGGGAAAAATCAGAGTAAAACCCACTTGAAAAATGAGTTTGTTGCTAATTAAACCTAATGAAGCATTTTTCCTTTTTAACTCCTAAGAAAGGTGAGCAATTGCATATACATAGGTATATTCAGAGATATTTAACAGTCATGATTCTATCAAGGTAAGCATCATGATTAAAATATTAAGATAGATTAAGTTCATGTAACAGGCATTTGGGAAAGGTAATAATCAAAATCTATTTCTGATAAGAATTTTGAATCATTTTCTTGAAAATTCTTAATGATCCAACATATTTAGACCACTGTTTTCAACCTTATTTAGGTGAAATGACCTACTTTGGCCTGTTGTATAAATAATATTTTTAACATATATAATTATATACCCCACTTCAAATCACTGTATATTGAAGTTAATGCGT